TGTGTGGTGAGTTTTTTTTGTGGTTGTGGTTTTTTTTGTTGTTTTGTTGGGGAGCTGTGGTTTTTTTTTTGTGTGTTTTTTTTTTTTCCCCCCTCTTGGCTCCCCCCCTTTTTTTTTATAAACCTTTTTTTTGAACACCGGGCGCGTATAATACTGGGGAGGGGGGGGGGCCGGTTGGTTGGGGGGGGGGGGGGGGGGGGGGCTGAAAGGGCTCCCGGCGCCGGTAACCTTTTTGAACAATTTAATCAGTTTAATCAAGCGAGAACTGAATGAAAAACGGGCAGTCATAACCCTGGTCATCGAGAAACTTGTACAAATTGAGTGCTTGTTTATTTTATCACATTGCAAACTTTGACACCAGAAGAGGACGAGATGCGTGCTTTCACATGACAGGAGTCAGATACAGCTGTTATCATATCAGATATGGAATAAAAAGCAAAAGCAAAATACTGAATTTTTGCGTAATAAAAATACCGTAAAACAATGTCTTCTAGAAATCTCTTTCAAATTAGGAAACTTTGCCAGTTAATTATTTCAGCGATCTGCCTGCGGTGAAATAAGATCAGTTGAATTCGCCAAAACTGCGAGTTGATCGGCCAGGCTCGCAAATAATTTCCTTGTAGTTTGCACCAAAAATATTTTGATCAGCATGAGACTTATTTATTGACTGACCTTTCGCCATCCATAGTAGACTTAATTCAGAGAAGTGGAGACTATATGTGGTGAAACCTCACTAGAAAATACTTATACAGGAGTTGTTGTCAATTGATTTTTTTTTCTTAACTTTCTTGAATTCAGATTTGAGCACTGTTTGGAAGAAAAAAGGAAAGTGTTATTTGGAAAAGCTATTTAAAATCTTAATGAACTGTTAGTGGCATTTTATCTCGTTGTTATCAAAGAAACAAATGATTTTATCCGGAGGCCATATTCAATAGATGAATACAAACATTCAAGTTAATCAAATCAGAATATTGGCCCATGTAAATAATGATTCAGATCTTTTTTGTTTTCTTTTCATGTGTCAAGTCTTAGATCGACGTAGATAAGATATTCTATTGTACTTAAGAAATAAATAAGTGTGTTAGTATGAATTAAATGTTAGTAATCTACTACCTCACAAAATTAAACGGGCTCGAATTATCCATTGACTGCGCATTTTAAATCACACAAGTGAGAATGTGTCCAAAAATGACAAAGGAAATGATATAAAATAAACTAAAAAGTAGATTTATCTGGTGTTCCGTTTGTGACGTAAGCTCTAGTTGAAGTAGGAAAATCAGACCACCAAGTCGAGCATGAACCTTTCACCCTTCAAATTCTTTAAGTATTCCATATATCGAATATGCACACGGTGATTATGTAACCATATACTGTAAAACCGCTCGGCACATTTCAGGGGGAGAGAATCTATTGCATTCTACCGTAATTGTTAACACCAGCTGGCAAGAAATCAGCACTGAGGAATCGCTCAGAATCTGCCGTAAGTCCGGTTTAAGTCGCTTAGACGGAATTACAGGGATCGATGTTGACAGTGTATTCGAAAGCACTTCAATGTGAATTGATGCGACACTGATTCCTTTAATACGGCAGACACCGTACGTACGCACGCATCTTAAAGAGGTCCTTTTTAATATTATACAGCCAGCAACTTTGATTGTAAGTAAGCTCGTTCTTACAAAGCCTACGTTTGCTTAAATTGCTCTGTTGAAGTCTTACGGACTGCTATATTATTTTCCCAAATCGTTGAATAACTTGTAATTTCACCCTTTTGCTTGGCAGGTAGTCATGAATTCTTCAAACGTTAGTGGAGCCAAATGTTTGTTTGAGAACGCCAGTCATTCGTCAACAGTTTTGGTTATTACTGGCTTCGCCGTGGTTCTGTTTTTTTCTCTAATTGGTAATTTTTTACTGATACGAGTGGTGCTATACGACAAAGAATCAAGAAAGAAATTTCCTTTCAATTATCTCATACTCAACATGGCGATAGCGGACATTCTCAACGCCTCGTCAGCGGCGCTTGTGTTTATCTCTTTCCTCACGGTCGGTCGACATTGGTTGTCTGGTACCTTTGGGTTGATAACTTGCAAGCTATCATACTTTTCAGTGACGTTCTCGGTAGCAGCGTCTATATTGACCGTTGTCACGATGGGATTAGATCGCTTCATGGCAGCGCACGCGACCATAAGGCCGCTCACACTAAAAGGAATTAGATGCGCTATTGTGGTGATTTGGCTTTTGGCCGGACTATCGGCCTCACCGTATTTGTACAGAATGACAACAGAGGAAAAGTCAGACGGAAAATGCTATTGCATTGGAAAATGGCACGAAGATGATAAGAAGCACTTTCAGTACATGAAAATTGAGGAAACAACAAAGTTTGCAGTCCTCTATGTGCTTCCACTTACAGCCATGGTGTTCTTCTATGCCATCATCGCATGCAAAATCCGCGAACGGAGCAATCTTCCCGTAGGAAACGACAGAAGATACAAAATCATGCAGATGAATCAACGAGTCGTACGCATGATCACGGCTATAGTTGTAATATTCGCTGTATGTTGGTTGCCCGTACATGTCAATCATTTGCTGCGATCATTTGCGTTTTCTACATATTGCAAATTACCCGCCATCCTTCTTCTTTCGTTTTTTTGGCTGGGTCATGCAAACTGTGCAATAAACCCGTGGGTTTGGTTTATGTTCAGTGGTCATTTCCGTGGGTTACTCAAACAAGTAACAAACGCGAGTTCTGGGAAGATACAAAGTGATCACGTGCCTCTTAGCCCAAAACAAACTTCAAGATAAGTAGACAGTGATCAAAATGGATCAATTAGAGTATTTGTAATAAATTAGGCAAATATTGATACCGAAATGTTGTTCGATTGAAGGTCATTTATTTGTTAAAATTCAGTCTATTTGCTGCAGTGACAGAGCCGACGCAACAAACCAAAGGCGCTGAGAGCATTGACCACAAAAATCGTAAATATTTTAGAATGGACGTTCCAGACATTCAGAGACAAACCTCTTTAAGTAGAAGAAATTTAGTTTGTAAAATAGAAAACTAAGCTATCCTTACATTTATACTAAATAGATTATTTATAATATAGGCGTCATTAATTATAGGTAACGAACAAAACTTCGAACCGGTTAATATCTAAATTTCTTGCGCCGATTCACAGCATGCGACTCGATCGATTTGGCAAGCCATGTGAAATGTTCTGAACAAATTTCCACTGGTTTGATGTCAAAGCAAGTAATTGGCCAGTTAATTGCATTAATAGATAGATTGAAAGTACGATACCCATTTATGAGTGATAACTCCTTAATGTATAGATTGTTATTTTAAAGGATTAGTGTATATAAAGTATCTTAATGCATCTTAATCCATTGTTTTCGAGCTAATCGTTGTGCGCAATTTATCCTGCTTGTCAAATTCAGTTCAACACAGTTAATTCAGTTTTTGATTTTAGTCAAGCCTCTTATTACTTATTTCCCAAGTACGAACCTCTTTTACTTCCTTCCGCTTCGGAGCCGTTCCACCCTTAAATGATTTCCACTACAGAACTGACGTAAAGGAGCCGTTGCAATGTGATTACACTGTTTTACTGCCGTATAAACACATGATTAAGAATAAGATTTTTCACTATGGGGCTTAAGACGGCCACCTTGAATTCGCTCTCTCCAGAATGCTGCATGTTCATGCTCTATCTAATCTTTGCTAACAAGGTTTTCCCCAGCGCAGACTAGCTGGCGTCGGTACTGTGTGGAAGGCTTGGCATACGCCGGGCCTGTATCTACGAAGACGTCGTTTTCGTAAAGTATATTGTTTCTTAACTATGCTCTATTATTAGAGATATTCAGAGAGTCACGTTTACGCCAAACGGCAAACCTAGATTTGTATACTACTTGAACAAGTTTTTCCCTTCACTGTCGTATACCGTTTATTACTTCTACTCAAAATAAGCAGTTTCACGCCACTTATATCCATAATTCTTTTTGTCAACAAGGTTTTCTTTTCTTAGTGTCTGTAGTGAGGTTAGCTATTACACCTGGTGCGGAATCTGCGAATCCAAGTTTCCTACAGTGTTTTTTAACAATGGCCGATTATTATTCACAATTCCTTTTACGTAGACAGATATCAGAGAAATTTGGTCAAATGATGGATTAGTTCAGCAGAAACATACTGAAACGACCTTGGCTTTTATAAAATCCTCTATGAGACAATTAAAATGTATGATTTATCTTTAATCTAGAGCTGCCTGACAAATTCCTCCCCCTATACATATAGACTTTGATTGTTTTAAAACTTTCGGTAAACAAAATACACAATACAGAACACAGAATGTCTACAGAATGAAGAATAAACAATACACAAATGTACAATAAACAATCAACATTACACCATACACAATAAACAATACACAATTCACAACACACAAAAGGCTTTGTTTTGACAGGTAACCCTTGACAATCCCAAAAACGGATGACCCTCTTGCCCCTCACGAACACATGAATTCATGAACGCAGAACCATGTCGGGGCCGGTTTTGCCCTTATTCTTACAAGAAAAAAGTATATAGCAAGGATAACCATTAATTCCTTAAATACATAATTTGTGTAATCCTATCAAAATCACGCTATGACATGATACCCTCGATGTTGCAAAATGGAAGTAATAAAATAAATTGAAATTTAAGTCAAGCCTGGGTGGTGAGCGTAATCAATATTGAATAATTATTCCATGAGCCCGGCTGCGCGTAGGATGAGAGCTCACTTTCCGTCGAAAGATTCTTTTGTTTAACGCGTTACACATTTGAATAATAAACACAATATTTTTAAAATGGCGATGTCGCCTGTGAAGATCATAAGAAGGTATAATGGCGACACCAAAAGAAAATGAGCTCATTCTCTCTTGTCGAGATCTAGTGACCCAACCTAATGAGAAAGTTACAAAATGCATGGTAGTTGAGATGAGGAAGTCATTTTCGATGGCACATCTTCCTTAATGGGCAATTCTATTTATCAAAATAGGAGGAGAATTAACCCCTTATGCCCTAAGCAGTTTCTTACAACAGATTGGTGACAAGAATTTAGTACATGATCACACAAGATGAATGTAACTAACATTTCATTAAATTCTTTCCACTACTTAAAGAGGGCTTTGATGGGATTACCTGACAACTGAAAAATGCCCAAAATTTTAACTGACAACTGACAAATAGCCTAAAATTTAACTGACAGCTGACATTTGCCTTGGGTTTTGCAAACTTCGATAGCTAGCGAGCAAGCTCTCCTGGGCGCTCTGGTGGCGAGGCGGGAAGAGGAGGGCTTGCAACTACGTCTCTGGGATTTGAATACTGATCTGCATCGAAAAAGTCGACGCGAAATGCTGATGACATAAGTAATGACGTCTTACACATTTGCGCTCGTTTCCGCTTCGCGCTGATTGGTTTAAATCTGACACCTCAGTCGACGGGGAGCAACAGGAGAATCGGAGGTGGAGTTCAAATTCCAGAGACGTAGTTACATGTTATTCTTCCTTTTCCCGCCCCGCCGTCAGAGCGCCCCAGAGAGCTTGCTCGCAGGCTAAAACTTCGAGGGAATTAAGAGTTTTTCTGTTCCGTCGATCATCTCAGAAAACAGATGCTTACTTGAACGAGTTCCAAAGGTCACGGTTTGGGATTTGTGATTGGTGGATTCTGATCCGGTTTGTTTTTGTGTTTCAAGGTTTCTCGCTTGTGATCATCCTGTTTCAGGCAAGACTCGACTAGTTTAATTCGAAGATCTTTCTGATCTTTCTTACGAATGTCTACCCCACTTGCAAGATTATAAAGCAATGCCTGGCTCCTTTCATCCACTCACCATCGCGATTTCCTTCGCTGCCGCTAGAGTCATTCTCAGTTTTGCTTTTCCTTGCGAAACTGGGCGAGCGCGTTGCGTTGTGACTTGCATTAACCCTGCCCCCACTCAAATGATTGACGGAGCAGAAAAACCAAAAATCCTTTCGAAGTTTGCTAAATGTGCAGCGCGATACAACGAATTTGGTTGTAGAGGGTTAATAATGCAACCCTAGACTAGCTGATATGACCTTTCTGTAAAAAAAAAACCCTTGCAAAAAAATTACTTCATGTAATGGGTCTCAACACCAAAACTCGAGCAAGAGTCATTCCCATTGCATCATAACTCATACTTTTTTTGAACTATAACGCCTTGCCCCGCTAATCCACTTTAAATTTATTCATTTAGTTTTAAATTGTAAACGATAACCGGCACTTACTTTAGAAGTGTTTCTTGCAAAAAAAAAAAATGCTATTTTAGCTGAGTGCAATGTCATGCTCTAAAAGCAAAGGAGTACGCATTACCGCGTCATATTTTGTACGTAACGTATTGAACATTAAACTGAACGCTCAAGGGAATTGATTTACTCGTTGCTTGCTTTCGTCCTTTCGTGTGTAAGAGTCTCTTGGCCGAACCTGAAGAGTTTATGAATTGCCGTAGCTATCAAACCCGGACACTTTTTTAGCATAGGTAAAAATTACATACAAATTTAATGCAAGCTCATTTCCTTTTGGTCTTTATCTTTTAAGTCCAATAAATCTTCTATACCGTCGTCATTCGGTCCGCTACAATTATTATTGAATGGCGGCAAAATTTTACGTCATCGCAACCAGAATCAGAAGACTTCGATTTAGAGTTCTCACTTTGATGCCTAAGTTTGCCATAGCCGTGTTTTTTCTGAGAGCGCATTTTGGGTACATCAGGCGAAGGATGAATCCCAGAAATATTGTTTCCATTTTGTTGGGGGTTGTCCTTGGCTGAAGTGATTGCAGTTGAAGGTCTCCTGATTGAAGATCTCCTGAATGAACTCCTGAGGTAAATACTTTGAAAAGATTCAATATGCAAAGCGTGCAGAAAAGCACGACGGAAAGTCTTGTTGAAAACAACGTAAAGAATTGGATTTATTGCACTGTTCGCATGACCAAGCCAGAAAAATAGCATAATGACTAATTGGGACATACATGTGTAAGTCTCATAATCGAAGTATATGTAATAGTGTAAAAGATGCAAAGGGAACCAGCAGACCGCAAAGGCTACAGTAACCGTGATAAGCATCTTTATAACGCGTTTCTTGGACTTGTTGATCTTGGCATCACCCCCGCTTCCAATGCTTTCCACGAGGCTCTCTTTCCTTAGCTTGTGTGCAATAAAGGAGTATAAAATGCCCATTAAGAGCAGAGGTGTAGCGTATAAGACAACAAAAATCGCGACGGCAAAATATTTGTTGAAGTCGATGGGCATACGTTGCCAATCGGGATAGCAATAGAACCTATCATCGCCTCTTGCAATTAAGGGTTGACTTACGGTGTACACTTCAAGATGCAGACCCATAATGGCGATGGAAACAACCCATATGACAACCAAGGCAACCTTGGAGGTTCTTAGGTTGAGGCAACGCTTCCATACAAAGACGATCGACACAAATCTGTCAACAGTGATGACGATAAGGGTGATGACTGATCCCGCTATTGATGCAGTCAAAGAGAAGTGAACCGTCTTGCAGAGGATCAAGCCAAAGATTCCACCAAACCACCGCAGGCCCACAAAGAGATAAGAAACTGAATAAGGCATGATAAAAACTGTCACCAGTAGATCAGCGATTGCCATATTGACGATCAAAAGGTTTAATACACTTCTCATGCTTTGTCTCTGGAAAACCACATACAAAACGAGGGAGTTCCCTAGAAGAGCGATGGGGAAGATGATGGCATATAACACTGTTAAGGTCACTTGTAAGGATACTGTGACTTGAGTCTGCGTACACCCAGGCATATTTCTGTTTGCTGAAATGTTCCCTGAAAGGCAAAATAATAATAATAATAATAATAATAATAATAAAAACTTAAAATATACATTTAGTTTACTTCCTTTCCTATTCGATTTTAAAATACGTACACGTATGCGATGGTGTGTCAAGGTGTATTTAAAAGGACTTTCGCACTGATTAACTCGTGCCTCCGTTTTCTTCCTTCTCCGCATGCCGAATTTGAACATCGATTTATATGATTTTAAATATTCTACGAGAAAGCGATTACTTGTAGCTAGAACAGCAATAGCCTCTAGCTATAGCTGGCACCCACTATTTTCACTATCGAACTGGCCACAAATGGCCGAGCCCTGAAATGTATAATAAAATATAGAGATCCTTTCGATTCTCTGACCGTCTTCGAAACACATGTTATTAGTGAAACACCACGTTGTAACATCTGAAACCTTTAGGCTACAATAGTTTTGCATCAGGCGACTTTTCACTTAGCAAAGAGTTAAAAGAGTTCTTATTTACGCTACAGACGACCGCAATACATTTCGCCGTTTAGTCTAATAGTGCCAGTTAGGGAAGTGGGTGCAGTTAGACAAGAAGACGCATTCAGCTTCGGTAATACATTTTTCGCCTTGTAGCTTGTATTCCTGCCAAATAGCGGGACCTCGATTTGATATCGTCGATATTTCGTCACCCGCGAATTTATAACGTCTTAAACTTTTGCTGTTGGCCATTTCTCAGTTACAGCTCTATATCGCTCTTTCCAAGTATCGGGCCCCTTGACATCAAGTGCATTTATGAATAGTAACATATAGTAATCACGAAAAGTAATTTAAGTTAAGTGATGAGAGTCAATGGACACTTACACCCTATTACATGGCCTTCCCAGGGAAAAAAATACCTATAACTTGAACGTAAGCGTTCTCTTTTATGAAGAATGCACCTTTATGCACGTACGAACAAAATTCTACCCATTTTAAAGCGCACTGATTATGTGTTGTATACATGACGTCACTAAGTACATCTGAACGCCCTATATCTTGTACTTGTTCTTGAAAATGTAAGCAAAAGCAAGTAAACCATTTTGGGACCTATTTTATACTATGTATTCCTTCCTCAGCTAGCTGAAAAACTTGACGATAAAATAGAAAACGTGGCAAACCAGATAAAGAAAAAATGGCAAAATAACTTATCTACTCAAACACTGACGTCGAGATTTCGAAGTGTTGGTACTAAGTATTAGGTATTAGAGAATTTAGTTTTGATTGGTTGCGAAAAGACTTTCTGGTGTTTAAACAACGTGATTATTTAATTGTGAAGTGATTTACTGTAGCTGACTTTTATAAGTTGGAAGCAATATATACACTACAGAGGAGAATGAGGCAGCTTGTCACTGTTTTCTACATATGTAGATTTTTTTATTGTTGGCTTGCGACTTCTTCAAATATTTGAAGTTATGTGATGTTAATCTCGTGTATGAAATAGATAATCTTTCCTCAAGTAATAAATAACACTAGGCCTGACAAAGACACAAGGGAAGCCGGCCTGTCGATTACTTTTGAGACAATAAATGAAAGCACTTAGAAACGCTAATTTTTTTCTCACAGTCCTAGTTCATATCATATAACACGTTCGTTAGTAACAAAGTTGAATTGACTCTTTATTGATCTTGAAAATGATCAATTCTAGCCTTAAGTCAACAAGACGCTATTATCCCATTGAGACTGTTATAAAGCGATTGAACATTTAAGAAGCCATTGAATTGATAAGAAAGGTTAACGTCAATATGAGAAAATTGGCTTTGAGAAACTTTGCAATTAATCAGTTGATGACTAATATTTCACTTTAGACACTGGAAATTGTCGAACAACATGTCACCATGTCGTCTTTCTTCTAAAATTTGGATCATATATGATCAGACACCATAGCTCAAATCAACTGGAAATTCTCCTCGAAAGAAACCCCTTAAAGAGGGTCTCAATGAGGTTAACCCATAGGCGTAAAACGGCCAAAAATTTAGCCGATAAACGTACAAATTGAAAAATTTTAACCGTTAGCCGTAAATAGGGTAAAAAAGAGTTAGCCGTAAAAGAAAGTGTTCCCTAGATTTGCTACTTTTAAGGAAGGTACTAAACTCACTTATGGTTGCGTTTTTTATTTCCCGGCTAGTGTGACTCCGTACGCACGTTAGGCGAAGCGCCTTAACCAAGACCTAGGCTCCACCCGGCGTTCTCTCGGGGAACTAATTTTTTCCATAGCGAAAGTGTGGCTTCTTTCCGGAGGTCGTGCCCTCGAAACACTAGTGAAACAGCACGCAGAGATGTCACTGTTTGTAAAACACGCTGCCGATAAACAACATTTCCCTGTTTTTCTCTGACGCTACGGTAGACATTGCCATGCCTAGTCCCTGAACGGCGTCTTCCCATGCAATCTCGGTCAAGGCATTTCGGTGGCGAGCTCGCTCGGACCACGTGACCCGAAACTCATTAGCCGCGCAAAATATTGCGGCCTACGGACAAGGCAACGGCAGACAGTCGTTCCGTACAGTCCTTCTCTATCATTAAAAACACTGGACACGGGAATTTTGTTATTGGTCGTTTTCACACTAGAGCTAGAAATGGATCATCCGTCTGAGACTAGCCCGTGTACAGTCGCGTCCTCCCCACAGACACCCTTTCTCCGTTTTTTTCTGATGGGAGGGGGCGGCTATACACAGGCTATCTGGAACGGATATTTCCGTCTTCAAAAGTCAGGCGGATTGTTCATTCAAACTTAAAACTATTCCATTTTCAAATTAAGACGTATTACCTATCTGACGCGAATCATCAAACGGATAACGCGTCTCACACGAATAATCCTTCTCTAGTGTGAAAACGGCCATTTCTGTTATAAAGAATGTCGCGCCTGGCCTTGAGTTGGCCGTTCGCGTGTCTGCTTTTGCTTTTTCACAAAGATTATTTTTAAATTGACTATTGGCATTTCTAAGCGTAAAATAATAGTAGCAGCGTTGATGGTGGTGGTAGAAATAGAAGTAGTGGTGGTGTTGGTGGTGGTGGTGGTTGTAGCAGTGTGTGTGGTGGGGTGGTGATAGTAGTTGTGGTGCTGGGATTGTAGTGGTGATGGCGTTGGTTGTAGTAGTAGTGGTGGTAGTGGTGATTGTAGAAGAAGTGATAGTGATGGTGGTTGTAGTAACGGTGGTGGTGGTGATGGTGGCGGAAGTTGGTGGTGTCGTAGTCGCTACGAGTTAGCAGCAGCAATTTTTCTGACTGACCGTGGTGGGCCTGGGCACTAGGTCTGTTCCCCGCCAAGTTTCATTGGTTGGTTAGCAGGCAATGATTTTGAGAAAACACTCTTGGTAAGGTCAGGTGCAATGGTTGCCAAACTGGTAGGTGCTTCATATACTTCATATATGATATATCGCTTTGTGCTTAAACGTTCGGTGCAAGTTGGTTTTTAAGACGTTTCACATCCGCATAACGCATTTTACTTGAATCATTCAGCAAACGCAAAGTGTAAACGATTTACTGACACATTACGAGTAAGGCTCATAAGTGTGAGCTCAGAGCTTGCCGAGATCATTGACCTTGACTAAAAAGGGGCTATGTTAAGCTATTTGCTATCTTTTAAACGGCTAAAACTTGTCTTTCCATCAATTGCATCTCAAAAATATAGGTCCAGTTTTGTTATTTAAGCCTATATTAAGGCACTGAAACAGTTTCCTGTCATCCATTGCTACGGATGGCAAGGATGGACACGGATTGAAACTTGTAAAAAATTGAGTCAACTTTTTGAAGTTTTAATGCCAGGCCTGAATAATCACCCCAAAAAATAATGGTTAGTGCTCCTTGACGAAACTGTTTTGATATCTTCTTCATAACTCTACAGGAGCAGTATAGCTTGGGCCACTTAGTAATGACTTAAGCACAGATTTGACCTACAACAGCAATATCTTCGTGACAAAGCCCCTTTAAAGTCATGGTCAGTTTTATTTCTGGAAGCCTGAATTCTCTTAATTCAGTACAATTTTCAGTCATGTAGGCTTCAAAAACATCTACGCGAAATCCATTCAGTGATCAAACCAAGGTTTGACTTGACCTTCCAGATGTCGTTGGCTATATAACAGTAAAATCGCGAAATGTTTTTTTCTCCCCTATATCGACAATCAGTCAATCAGTTATCAGTCGTCAATTGTGCATAAACCAATGGATATAATTATTCTTGGTATAAATATGGGTAGCCGGACATGTTCGAAAACTTCTCGAAGGAGGGGGGTGGGGTGCAACCCCCTCTACCCTCCCGCTGGATCCGCCCCTGTGGTGAGTGAAGCGTTGAAGATGGAATACAATCTTGAAGTTCCACTGTGAACTACATAATTTGCTGTTTCTGTCCTTCCTTTTTGTTAGGCACAATGATAACATTTACCTTGTACTCAATCGTAACTCCCCGCCCATAAATTTGTTGTGTAAATCCAGTATTACCCACCATGGTTGAATTTATTGTACTTTATAGTTATTTATAGACAGAACCATGCTCTTTATTTTTATTAGCCCAAAGGAACCGTGATATCGAGGCTAAGACATTGTGGTACTGTTTGTTTACTACTTTAGTACATCTGGAGTGCCGTGTAGTACACATTTCAAGTGAAAAATAATTGAAAGCACGATTTTATTGCAAGATTTTAGCAAAACTAGTTTAATGGAGCCGATACGTCATGTACACAAAACTACTCAAGAGAAACGGTGTCGTAGCAACTGGAACAAATAGTGATTATTATATTCCAAAAATTTGTAATAACCCCTTCATTTAAATAAAAAAAACAAGAAAGGTGGAAAATGTGGCCTTTGTGGTCTGTTTTCAGGCTCCTGTTGAAGTCTTAGTAGACTTTGCCTGTTTCATAAGGACACTTTTTGAAATTGCCGGTTTTCGTTTTTACTGAGGAGTCTAGCTTTTAATCCGGATGTTATCAAATGAAGTACGTGCTTAGAGATTTAACTGAGATTAAGAAAACAGC